TTCAAATGAATTTCCTCACACCTATTTACAGACACAGATTTTTAGAAAGCCAATCAAAGTGAAATAAAACTACTGAGGAGTCCAGATGATTTTCAAGGTGGACCACTTTGCTAACTTAAATCTTCATTTTTGCATTATGCTGTCAGGCTTTCAGATAGTACCTGCTATCTTCTGCAGCCAAAGTACCAAAACTTACAGGTACAAGACACTCAGCTGCCTCAGTAGAGGATATTCCAAAATATTTGTCCAAATGAGCAGATGCCTCACCGCCTTTGGACTTCTATGGAAACTTCTCCCACTACCACAAATGACTTTTCCTAATAATCCAATCAAGTTCTGGTGCTTCACCAGTTTGACAGGACAGCGGATATGATTTTTTTTTGGGACATAATATTTCATATAACCTGTAGAAACCTACAGGTGTCTCTGGATACAAGTTTGCACAAGTCTCTGTTTACTGTCAGGGTAACAAAGCCTGTTACAATTCTACAAAAATCAATGTACACGATTGGCTTTCAGCATGCCTACGTGCTTGGCACAGAAATGCCGGAGCACAGTCGGTGCAGGGTTATATGCATGGTTAAGGGTAGTTAGTCAAAAGGAATGACTGAAATATTTGCTACTTATGTGGAATTATTTATGAAAACTGTGTTTTGCAAAATGGGTATGAAGATGTAATGAGTCCATTATAAATGGCTCAGTCTCTATAGCCTTACTGACAACAATACTGTTCTCATTCTTCTGTATCCAGCTCCATCCTCAGTAACAAATATTCATAGCCTCCCAAGCCTATGCTTCAGACAGCTCCTATAAATTCAATTTCCTGCAATGACAATAAGCAAGTAAACAAGTGACAGTACAAACTATATCCTACAGCCTTTGTATGTTTTCCTAAGAATTTCCCAGTGGGACAAGATCTTTAAACATCCTTTTCACACTTGCAACAAATTGCTTTTCAGAAAAATCTGCCCATTTGGTCATGGGAAATGTTGACCTCTTGGTAAAACAGTCTGCAATGAGCTTTTTGGAAAAGCTGATAATAGCAAGCTGCCCTGAAAAGCCTGGTGAGGGACCAGAAGAGGTCACTAGGGCTCCCAGCTTGTAGTAAGAGGGGTTCAAACAAATTAACACAGCAGTTAGATGTAAAGCATAGGGGTCCCTGTTGATTGCAACCATTTTCAGAAGAAAAAATAAGACACATTGGAGTAAGACATATTCCCGATGTAGACCACAGGAAAAAGCTTATTTTTTTTTTTTGGCTAAAGAAAGCCTGGACAACATTCTTCTGGGTGTACAACAGCATTTTTAGGCATTGAGGGTTTTGTGACTGTTTTGGTTTGACAGAAAGAGCAATGATAATTTCAATGCTGAATATTTTACAGGCAGAGTGCTCTGATACTCACCTTCACCTACGCAAGGGCGTGTATAACACCAACACAAAGACTACCCTATTAAAGCCAATGCTATTCACATCCAATTACATACACACAGAGGATGTTATGGCAACAACCTGTACCTCCTCTTATTTTAAAGACGCTTGAAATCTGTATTGCAAAAAGAAATACTCTAAAGGGAAACTTTTACTAAGAATTAATGTTACAGAATATTTTTCTTCTCACCCTTCTCTGAAATGTACTACATCCCATATCACTGCAATTTATCTATCTACAGATTTTTTGAGAGTTTTATACTCCCATAATTCAGCATATGAACTTTTCAAAACACTAAAAAAAAGACATTTTTATATGAGGCACCACTTTCTACAACGCTGATGTGCAGCATTGAACTCATGAATGTTCTATTAATTACATAGAACCATGAATATTAGACCTAAATTTTTGACTCAGGCTAATGTGTTGTTTTGTTTATTTTTTTTTTTAAACTAGGTATCTATACTAAATAAAAAAGCAAGATGAGCCAAGATCAGTACTCCTCTTGCCATGTATATGCCCGAAGATACCAAAGTTGTCAGGCATCTCACACAGCAAGTATGATTGAGTCACTCAGTACCTATGTAGCATTAAGTATCCAAGATGTCAGACACTTAAGGAGCACAACATTTTCTTCAGGTGAATTTATTTTAAAACTATTTTTTTTCCCCCTCACTAAACAAGATTAAATTGACAGAAATAATTTGAATTCTTGATTCAGCCTGAGTCATGTTATGTTGTGCAATATTCCATTACATGGGATCTGGCATAATTTAACACTGCATGGTACAACAGAGTAAAATCAATTAAATGTATACTTCAGAGAAATGCTGTTACTTAAATTAGTTTGTAAAGGCAGGCCAACAGGGAACAGGCAATGCAGATTGGCAAGAAATTGTTTGTTTCCCAAATATTCCTTGCTTTCTATCTAAGAAGAAACTGTCAATCTGACAAAAAAAACACAAAACTTATTAGGCACCAAAAAGTTCTGTACCAGCACTGTGTGAGGAATGTGCTCTAAAGCATCTTCTGCTTATGAAGTCTAGATGTGTTTGTAGTATGCAACAAAATAAATGTACAATTAATAGAGCAGATTATTAATCAGTCTGAGATATGAAAATCCTGCTTCAATCTGTTACAACTTCTGGAAACTTTTCAGTTATGCTGGTTGTAAATGGTAGATACATAACCTAGCTAACAAGCTTGTAATCAGCAGCTGGTTACCAGACAGGAACAGGAGCCACTTCTCATCTTACTGTGCTAATTTTCTCAACATACTTTTTTTTCTTTTTACATCCCTGGAAGTGTTCCAAGTCAATCGAATCAATTCCACTCAGTGGCACGCAAAACACAATAAGAAAAGATGAGATCTCATCAGTTCTATGTTTTGACTGAACATCAAAATGTTGCATGCACAAGCTCGTCTAAAAATCTTTCAAAATTGCTAAGAACATTTGTATGTAAGTCTTACACGCCACAAGAGCAATGCACACAACAACTATATTTATAAACACAGCCCAACATGCCTCTTGCAGATGTGAAGCAGTAAAACAAAAGCAGCCCCCTGAGCACATTTTATATTAAACACTGATAATTTGAAAGAAATCTCATAAACAAAAAATGTATGGTCTCTGCAATTTTACCTGTACCAGGTGCCAGAATTATAAGAAGCTAATATTAATTCCAAAATCTTGTTCATCATGACAGAGAAATATTATTTCCAAGCTCCCAAGCCCCCCTGCTCCATTCTACTGAAGTTACTTATATCAACTTGCTGAGATGTCGTCAAGTCCTAAATTTTAGGTTTTTGGCTTTTCTGATGTTTATAACTTTGTTCATAAAAGCCTTTGCCACAGCCAATATTTTCTGTCTTCATTACGCTATCACCATGACCCCATGCTCACCACAACTACATCACCTATACTCCCTTTAGAATGCAAATAAGAGAGTCATCAATTTTTCTCATCTCATTATTTTTGACTAGCAATGCCTATTTCTCAGGGAATCACTCCTTCCTTTTTGAACTTCCCTGATGAAGTCAGCCTCTGCAATGTTGTCTGCTCCTCCCACAAGTGGTCCTGAAAGCTTACACAGGGAGTTACCGTGTCTCTTTTCAGAAGCCTTCTGAGAAATGCCCCCCAACATGTCAAGAACAAACATGTCAACATTCAATAGCTGGGGGGAGATATGACTGGGAAGGTTTATACTAGTTTGTCTAAATATCAAAGACCATAGAGAATAAAAGTAAACATATAGAACTATAGATATTTGGAATACTGAAACAATTTTAGGAACGAATTTGATAAAAGCTATCAGATCATGGAATCCAGTTCTCTGCTATGACACGAAAGCTTGTGGTAGAATAATAATAACCTGTGAAGCTCTTTTGAGCCCACAACTATTGCTGAAAGCCAGAACATCCTTCTGCAGCGCACTTCATGTCGCTTAACTGACTGGCTTGCAAGCTCCTTGCTTCAGACTGTTGTTTGACACCAGTGGAACCAATTCCTGGACTTCTTCTCTAGTTCTCCTTAGTTTAGGGAAATTCCCACATACACTTACATTTGCACAGACCAAATGCACTAGAAAAACGTTCCTAAAGGTAGGCAGGCTGCCAACAATAGAACTATATACAACTACTTTTCTCTGAATATCAATCATTTATCAAAAGATAGAATATGAGCTACATGTACTTAATACAATACTTGTCTAAATTGATTCAGATATTTTTCATAATAGAACAAAGAAGCAAAAAAGGTTTTTTTCCTAGCAGTTCAATTCACATTGCATTGGTCTTTTTAAAGTTAAAATTTTATTCAAAGTAACTAACATAATTATCCTATTTACAATTGAATTAAGAAACCAAAAAACAAAACAGGAATATTTACAACCAAGTTACAGACTAAAAATAGAAATTGATAATAGATAGTTTAATACTTCATTAAAAACAGTTTTTGTAAATATTTTTATGTCTCTTGGCCCTACATTGGTACTATCTGTCCACAACAACATATCTAAGAACAAACTGGCATCCTAAAGGTAAGTATGAATGCATTCTTATATTAATATCTGTTTGCCTTGCTTCCAAATGAAAAACATTTTTAACATTAGGAACTTGCAGGGAAAATAATTTAGCAGGTCAAAACAATCTTTCTAACTTTTCCATCACAAAATTCTCATTAGGAAATTAAGACTGACTGTAGGTAAGCAATTTAAAGTAGCATCTAAAAATTACAGCACCACCAATCCCCTTAAAGACTTGCATTGCCTGAAGTTTTAATCTGTTAGTCATAAACACAGGGAAATACTCAGAGATTGTGGCAAAAGTTATACTGTGCACTTCCCCATTAACAAGTCCAAACAAAATTTCTCATTCATTTGTTAATATACAAGAGACACTTGTAAGTTTTAACAGGAGACAAAAAACAAATTGCTGAGAGAGAGAAGTTTAACACAAAATAATTCACAAGAGGAAAACAAGTCATCCTGTTTCATTTGCTATCCATCAATCCTGCTTGAAATATGGATGAACTCCATGGATGATTTTTTTTTTGTCTAGAAATGTGAAACAAAAGATTTTTTTGATGTCCTTGATTTAACACCCAATGCTGCATTTCTTTCAGAAAGGCTTCCAAGTAGGTTTCTTGGCACATCCTGTTCTGTCTTCCAATTCCTTGTTTTAATTCCTAGTGAAGAAAGAAATATTATTACAAATAAGAGACATTCATTCAGTAAACACATGCAGAATTTTGCCTAACTGGATCTCATTTTCAGGACATGTCTAAGAATTTCTACACATATTTCTTGTCCTTATTGAAAGCCTGATTTTGATATGCAAAAATGTAATCCCTCTCAGTTCAGTAATCCAGTGTGCTAAATTGCCTCCACCGTCCAATGATTAGACCCTAAATTGACACATGAGATGTTACTGAAAAGACACAAGAGTCTATATAAAATGCAGAAATGTGAAAATTTTATTAACCCTTATTATTATGGAACAGTGTTGAAAAAACAAATGCTACGTCATTAGACAAAGTTTTGTCTACTTAATCCAAAAGCATCTCTTCCTGTTAAGGATTCGGTCATATTTCATTTTTCTCCTGTTACATATGCTTTTGAAAATAAAATCTATTTTATATTCAGTTAAACTTTGAAGAATCAAAAAAAATCTATTCTCTATTTCAGAATGTGGTGCTTCATTACATTGTTTCTTAATAGTACCAGAGTAGTAATTGATTTTTGGTAACTCCATAACCAGTCTTTAGTAGTAGAAACTGATACTGATGAAACTGTGTATGAACTTCGCCAAATAATTAACCATTGGTTACATAGTGCTTAGCCTCAGATTTACAATTTTCAGAAATTTTATTGTAATAGAACCTCAACATCTCTCATGAATGGAGAATAATACATATTCATATGTACTTGGTTCCCTCACATCAGTTCTTACATAAAAACACATATATGCATTAAAACTGGCATATTGCCTATGCCACTGGGAAAAGCTACACGATTGGACTATTGCATAAGAACAGAAGACTAAAACTTTAAACAATCTTTGATCTATTTTAAACTGGCCAAGAAGTTGCACTAAAAAAAGATCGTTAAGGGTATTTCCAAAGACAGAGAGGAAAAGGAGACAAGTGGTTAGAGATAAAAGGAAGATGGTAAGGATTTAGTGCACTAAAATCTGCTGCAGGTGCCAAGCAACTTAGTGCCATGCACTAGGAAAGGTAGAAGGTTTTGGTAAGCTGTGAACAAAACCCCTTTGTAAACATCTACTGAAAAAATTACTTGTAATTGATTTTGTTACTGCAAAGATTTATATACCTCAGAGAGAAGCCACATGATTATAGCCATGTAATTGTAACAGACTTTCACAGCATACCACCTCCTAGCATTGTAATCAGCAACCTGTTAGAAGCAAAGTAATTCCCAAATATTGCTTTAAAAAAATTTTTCCTCAGCTATAGAGTTGGCAAAAAATAGACCCAAAATTTAAGTAATAAATCCCTGAAAAAAAATGTGTATCTGTTAAAACAGATCAGTGCAGTGTTATAAAATAAATCAAGAAGTTAAAAACAGGTATGGAAATGATTAGAGTATTTTATTTCTTGAGAAACCACACTTGGCAAAGATAAAATTGGTAATAAAGTTCTCCAAATTTCTCAATAAGTACACAAACAATTTTTGCTGGAAGACCTTATCTCTTGGGAAAAGTTTTCCCAGCAAGCTTGTACTAATATTGAGTTTTGACTAAATACCATCTAGATAACTGGTTAGACATTCAGATTTTTTAATTTTTCTTTTTTTTAAATGAATGAATACACTATTCAAACCAATGGCTTCATGTACTCATCACAGTGACACATGCTGTTAAATCGACAAAACCTTAAGTACCAGGATTAATTTTGGACGTCCTGTACAAACACAGTTACCAATGCAGTGTCCTACATTCAGTTTTGACATGTACCTGCAATTTTGGGTACTCGCAAAGCTCTGTGGCTTAACAAGACTTCTCGTCGAATGCGTTTTGCAGAAACAGGGTCTTGCAGGCTGCCTAATCCAGTGTTTGATGTAGAACTGGAAAAATAACCAGAAAAGAGTTTGCTTTCAGTAAAGCGATTAAGATATATTACAGTAGTTCAGGCCTTGCAATGTAGAAATACATTAAATGATATCATCCAGTATTGGTAGTTCCTAAAAAAATGCAAAGAATAAAATAATTTATGATGTGTGTATGTATATATATATATATATTATTCCCCTCCTTCCTTTTAAAACTTACAAGAATGTTTCAACTGTGAAAATAAGAACTGATGTTGCTACTTATGTTAAAATGCAGACCAATATGCTGCAGTTGTTTTTGGAAACCATAGGAGTCAGTTTGATGGTCATCACACACAAATTTTGCTAAGAACGAATATAATGCATATACGAAATCCTTGAAATGACCAAGCTGTGTTTATTGAACAAATCACCTTTTTTATTGCTACAATAATTTTTCTACAGCCTCCACAGTTGGAGGGGGCGGCTTCATAGCAGACAATAGTTTTTAGCTAAGCTGCAAGAAAGCTGTTATAGCTTCAAATTCATTAAGACAAAACCTCTATCTTTTATAGCTTTTTATGTGATGGACTCAAGATCTACAGCAAAAATTATGAATGTATCTGATCTCACGCTTTTACACTTGCCTGTCTAACCTCCCTAGTGCCACTCTGTAAGACAGGCTCATAAACAAGCTAATTCTATTTATGTCCCAAGTTTCTACACTTTTCCTATTCCTCTGATGATATTGTATTATTCCTACTTTATAGTCCCTTAACTTGCCGTAATTTTTTTAATAACAATCTGCCTAAGTTAAAATATATAGCAAGTAGTAAAGACTAAAACCTGCCTTGATCTATTCATGTGTGCTTCTTAGAAAAGAACTTATGCCAATAAGAATGTAATGCTATTTAGTAAAAGCAGCCTCTGTATTATGACTTCTCTCTTACCCCTTATCTTAGAAATACGACTGTTTCAAATTATATTTTTAATGCAGATAAGATATCTGAAATTTATATTTTTATTTTAATGTTAGTAGGAGATGAATGACCCTAGAGAACTACTTCAAACAGGGAAAGCATGAGAGACACAAGGTGGAAAAAGTAAAGAAGAGAAAGGAGGCACTGTCTGAAAAGTCAGAGTATATTCTTTTCCTCCTTCACAAATAATAAGCTTTCACTCCCTCTCTTCATCACCAACTTCTAGATAAACCATAAAGAATTTTGCTTAGAAACAATTTACAGTCTGAGGAAGAAATGATCCCCCAAAAATGAATAAAGTTGTGGTATTTTCCTGTAGTGTTATTTTAACTTGGAAATTGGGAAATACATTTTTGAGACACAAAAGGGGAAGAGATAGGCATATATACGTTTGGAAATCATTATACAGTTATTGCAAAAAAAAAAAAAGTACTCTTAAAGTATATCTTCGAACATTTACCTTAAGATGAGGTAAATCAGGCTCCAAACGTTCCCATACCCCTCCCTAAAGCGAATCTAGAAAACTAGCTCAGTTTCAGAGAGCAGGTGATTTAATTTGCTAAACTTATAATAAACTGTTTGAAAAATTGAAAATACAAGATGTACATCTTCTTATCCAAGAGCAAAACAGTTCAGAACAATAATAACAATTAGAACAGGAACATTAAAATAGGTAAACAGAAAAATCTTCCTGGAAGATCAGATATCTCAAAGATGCTAATAAACCAAAAAAGTGCTTGAAGTTTCTTCCTATCTATAGAACTTGTTCCAAGTCTTGAAACATTCTTTAGAAGACCTAGGTGGCAGCTCTACTCACTGTGTAGCAGCAGGTGACTCATAATACGGTTCAAAAAAAAGGTTTTCTCAAATTTAGTTTTTTGGAAAAACTAAAAAAAAAAAAAGAAAAAAAGAAAAAAAGAGAGCTGATTCATCAGTACTGACCTGATAACTAGTCCTTAAATATACTAAAAAAAAATAAACAAAGAAGTACAATTCCACTTACTGTCTATTCAGTTTCAGCTTTTCTGCTGCTCCTACTAACAACCCTTTTTCAGGACCATAAGACAGAAATGACAAAATGGGAGTTCTTCCCAGTGCAGACCACAAGAATGAAGTCATAATAACTAAGACTGGAAATGAATTATCAAAAAAACAAAGGCACTGGCCACATAAGTATTGTTAAGCATTTTCTCCACTTTCTGTTTTGGTAGTTTCTAATATTTTCCAGCAAAGGCATAACATTTGCAAACAAAGTAGTTTTTTAATTGATGATTATTTCAGAATTATGAGTCATCTTTTTATTTTGAGTAAACAGTAAATATGGAAGATACAATATTAGTTTGTACTTGTTCTATTAAAACAACAGAAGTTCCTCAAAATGGGAGTAAAAAAAAATAAAATATTCTACTCAAGTTCCCAGGAAAAAAACTCCAAAAGCTGTCAAACATTTGATTCAGAACATCTCATATGTAGGTCCAGATGAGTTGTATAAGAAGTTCTCAGAGTTGAAATATAATACCGGAAATGAAGTGAGGATATAATGAATGAATATAAATTAATTTGTATAGAATCAGAAGTGTTAGTTTAATCTTACCTTAACACCTTTCTTTTTCTCTCAGCAGCAGAAGTCATCGCCATATATGAGGGCTTCTCAAGTACTGAAGTAGGATTTTTGTTTCTTAAGGAGGAGAGATCAAGTCTGAAAAAAAAGATTTATATTTTTGTAAAATCTGTTCGCAGTAGAAGTCAAATGAAATTGTTCCTAACTGTAAATAAATATACGTTAAGTTGAAAAACAATACTGTAAATTCATTTTGTTAATATTACTTCAGGCAGCTTCACAGGACTTCACACATATACAGCAGCTTTAACAAAGGCATCTTTCAATGTCAGAGAAGTTAAAGTATCCATTTTACAGACAGGAAAAATAAGGCTTAGAGAAAGTAACTTGCCTGAGACATGACAAACAATTTCAGAAGTGCTGTATTTTCTTTTCAGTACATATCTTGTAAAACAGGATAAACTTTCAACTTCATCTGGTATCACTAACATACCATTGACTTCAATTAATGGCAGAATTGAATCTGATGCTGATTAAAATTGAGGCTTTGATTTTCAAAACATTTGTTTTACAAGTAAAATTGACATCAATGAAAAACCCAGCTCTGAAGATAAACAGGGTTAAAGTGTTTGGGTAATATTCCTTGCCCATTAAAATGGAAAATACCTTTGCGGAAGACTATTGCTGCATGGCTGTGAAACCTTCACAGGTGAATTGCTAGGTATTTCAGTTGTGTCACCTGTCCCTTCATAGAGAATTACTGTTGAGTCCATATGAGCTTCATTACATGTGATGTTATCCCGGAGTGCAGAGTCCATAATACTCAGCTTTTTCACTGGCATGTCTATATCAAATGCATTGGCTTCCTGAAGGCCTGCAGGCTGTGAAGTTATCTTTACTACAGTCTCTGTACAGCAGCTTTGTACTGGCTTTCGGCAAAATTCTGGTGTATACACAATAGGGCGGACATCTTTTGTAAGAGAATCCTCCAGATGATCGAGACTGGACTGTGTGGATGCAACAGGACTTTGAGCTGTGACTGGAGAGTTCATTAGCTTCCGTCTAGTTTTCTTCTGTGGCAGTACTTCACATTCTACTATTTGTGGTTTATTTTTATTCATTTCTTGTGATGGGGTACCAAAAGTCATACCTGTGCAACATAGGTAACAATAGTTAGCACATTTACCTGTATTTACTACTTAAATACTGCTTTTTCCCTCCTCTTCTGAAATATGTTTATTAGCAGAAATTATTACAAATACTATTTATTTCATTTACATATTAATTTTATTACATAACTGAAATTATTTCTATTGCAGCATTGTCCAGATGGTAGCATTTATTCTGTGCCACTCAAAGTATTATAAATATTCATAGGCTGGTATAGTTAATCCCAGAGAGTAATCACAAGAAAGATATGACACATGACAACAAGGAATGGAAGAGTAAGATTATTGAAAATGATCTCATTATCACAACACAACTCTTAATTTAATTTAAGATGGTACTGTCACAGCAATCTACAGCTGCCTCCTGATCATGGCCATTTCCTCCCTAGGAAGTACCATGCAGCAGAATGAGAGAGACTGTTGTAAAAGGAAAGACATAGAATCACTTAGAGGGACAAAATTCTTTGACATTGCAAATTAGAAAGCAGTGTTTTGGAGAAAGGGAAAGAAAGAAGTTACTTCGATCCTGTCATCTCAATATATAGACTCTAGGGAAAAAACCTGTATGCTAAAAAAACCTTAAAAATAATAAAGCAAGCAACACAAGCAATTGGCCATTCCCATTCATCCTCATTCATAGTATTTTTCTTGAAGTGTCATAATATTTTTATTTTCAAGCAGGTGGTAATGAAGGCAATCTTCAAAGAAAGAGAGAAAAGGCCTTTCTTTTATTCAAGTTTTCAGTGAAGGATAATAATTTTAAGACACAGAGCACTGTTCAAACGGCTAGGCTAGTAGAGACTTAAGCAGTCTCTAATGAACAAATAAAGGATTAAAAAAAAAAAACAAGCCAAAAAACCCTAAATCAAGAGTAGGAGAGGGCTGTCAAAACCCCAAGTGTTTCTATATTTTAGTTTCAGCGCAAAATTAAGAAATGAAGTAAAGACTACTATCCTTAAAACATCTATGGATTAGCCCCAGTTCAGCTGGTAGCCACAGCATAATTCCTCTTTCTGCATTTCCTGCTCCATTCCTATGAGCTGTAAAACTGAAAACCTGTAAAAAGGGCTCCTGCTTTTTAAATTGCTGTAAGTTATTCAGCAATTAACTATGGTGTTCATATAACTATGCTGATAAATATTTATTTCTTCTAACAGGCCATTCTATTTTTGCCTCAGAGTAAGATTTGAGCTCAGTCTGAATGCTTCTTTCTTGTGTGTTAACACTTACAGCATTTTAACTTAAATAAAAATTATTTGAAGAGGAGGAAAATTTATTAAAAACATATATTGCATTATTCCACACCCCTCCCCAAGTTTGATTTCTGACAAAAAGCCAAGCTTAAATGATGGTAGTCTTTTCTCTGACTGTTTACCACTTCTCAGCCCCCGTTTAAGTTTGACCTCGTTCCCCAGTTGAACCCAATTTGCCACAGGTGAGCAGCTTTCAGAATGCCAATTCCCAAGTACCCTCACAAATCGGGTGTCCTAGGGAAAAAGGCCCAAATAAGAGCCTCATTGAAGGAAAGTCTTCAAAGGATTAACTCGGCACCAGTTTTTTGTACACACTTTGGAACTAGACATACCATATGACAGATTCCTCATGCCCAGCTACATGACAGGGTGCCCAATTAGAAGATACAAATTAGAGCTATAAGGAGATAGTCTTTAAATCCTTTCCTATCATGAGACCTAGGCTTGTTCTGAATGGAGGATGGAATGGGTAGCAAAGTGTGTACAAGCGGCAAGTAAATTAGATGGTAATATATAGGCCACAAATCTATTCTATGTTGCCAGAACTTAATTCAATAATGAAACCATTGAAAAAACAAAGCAAACATTTATTCCTCACTCAACAGTTTTCAGAAAAACAATATTTAAACTACTATGGCTCAACAAACATGCAACATCTTCTCCAACAACGCATAAACAATAAAAGCAGGTTAATTTAAGCTAAACTGGTTGTGGGAAGAGATGCCTGGACGATTACATGAACAATTACAATTCTATTACGCTGTTTTCAGCGTTGAAGAAACACAAATACAGAAAAGTCAGGCCTGAGAACACTGCATGATGTGAAATAACTGAATCGTGAACGTGTATGTGTGTGCCCATGTATATATAGTTCACTTCGCTATGTAGTTATATAATGGATTTTTTTTGGTTAAAATGCAAAATACATTATTTTCTCATACCTAATCCTAGTCCATTTCATGGTCAGCATTCACCAGGTGAAATGCAGCAAGTTGTTGAGACACAGCAGCTTGATTGTAATCTGAACATGAACTAATTTAGAATATTCTCCATGAGCAGTGAAATGGAAAGGGTAGTAAAACAGTGCCTGCGTTTTCCTCAAATAATTTTTACCTCCACCAGAAATAATATAAGCCTATTTCAAAAAAGATGTTTTTCTCTAAGACTTGGTAGGATTTTGTTGGTAACAAGCAAGAAACTTATTTATGAACCTTTTTCAGTATGTACTCTGTGACACTATCAAAAATGCCATGACTCATTAATGTGCTTGCTCTTCAATTTTGGTTTCACGAGTACAATATTATTCTTCTGTGTAAAAGACTAACGTGTTTATTTCAAAAAACCCCCAAAAAATTCCTTGTAATCACAACTGAAAATTGAGGCCAAAAGTTTATTTTAAACATTTTTTTTGACAGCTTATATTCTTAAATACAAGAATAAGATTTACCTTAAGGATTCCAACCTAGTTTTTGAAATACCTATCCCTTAAACATTTCAGGACACATTTTAAAATATTAATTTATTAGGTTTCCTGCTGCTTATATGCATCTGAAAGTGTGTGTTTCGGGAAAAATAATGGTTAGAATTCTATTTGCCTGTTCTTAAATTAGGACAGGGAGGTTCCAGTTTCAGAAAGTTTGCTTACTGTAATACACTGAGGTTTTGCTAATGTCCTAAAGTTACTAGGAAGTCTGATGGAGAAACATTTTGGTGAGAGTGCCAAGTTTTAGAAGCTTCTCCAGGACTAAATACTGGAAGCATTTTTAAATTAACCGTAAATGCAAGCATTTAAACCATGAACTAGATAGGTAAAGAACACAGAAGTATTGCCAACATTAATAATTTGTTGAATTTCAGCATAATGAACAGTATTTCATAATGTAATAAAAGTACATTAATAAAAAGACAGTTGCAGCAATTCTATATAGGGTAAATATAAGCCGTTAGTAAAAACCCAGACCTATTTTTAAAATCTATTTATTTCTGGGATGAAACTCATTGTAAAACCAAGTTAAAACAAAACTAGCTTTTCCTGCCAGTTAAGTATTGGAAAGCATATAAAATATTCAAGAAGTGTCCCTTCTCAGAGCTTTTTGTGAAACCATTAAGTTGCTCCTAAGACAGTAGGCAAGAAAGTAAACAAAAACATCACCAGCAACATCATATTTAACTTGGTTTCACCAAATAACATAAACCAAATACGATGTGACAAAAAAAACCAACCCCAACACCCCAATTTCGTGTTAGCTTGCTGTTATACAGTATACAGTTCCAAACAGTTATGGTTTAAAGTAAACATAAATACAGCAAGAAAAACTTTTAAACCCACAAAACAAAGGAATGCCAGTGTTTTTATTTCTGTTTTAATAAGGAAACAAGATATTGAAGCCAGCTGCTAATTTTTTGCAGGTGCTTTTATAGCTGCCATTGAAGTTTAAATAAAATGGACTCAGACAATAGCTGCTACAAAACCACTACTGCTATAGATTTCAGATGACTTCAAGTGGTCATGATATCAAAAGTGTTCCTCCTTTTTTTTTTTTTTCTGAGAACCTGTTTTCAAATACCTCAAAGGCTACTCAGTATGATTAAAGACATTGAGATTCAGAGGCATACTTTAAGATTTACATATATAAAAACTCTTATTGAAAGAGAAAATTTAGTATCACAAGCTAACACAAATATGCCTCAAACTGAAACACCATGCCTTGTCTTTCCTAAATACTAAATTCATACAATTTTAGCATAATTTTGTCTAAACAAGCACTGAATATTTTAGCAAACAATTTTGGAAAACGTGATCAACTGTCACTACGTAGGTTACATTCCAATGAGACAGCTAAAACTAGAGAGAACTAGTTCTCCTAAATCCTATTCAAGAAAAGAAAAAGAAAAAGCTCCAGAAAAAGGACTTAAATGTTGCAAGTGGCAAATAGAAACTTCCAGTATTAAGCCTAAACCAACACAGAAGAGACATTCATTTCATAGCAGGTCATGCCTTCTAAAACCAAAGTGTTTGTACAACAACTTTAGGCAATGCTTTCTCCCAGGATACTCAATCTTATCATGCTGTCGTTGAGTGCTTGTAGGTAACATGTTTTAGCACATGCCTTATTTCCAAAATATTCCAATGAATAAAACCAGAAAATTGAGACAACGGTACATCCCTAGTTAAGAATAACAGAGGCAATATATAATTAATAAAATATCACAGATGAGGTTAACAAGGAATTATTTCATTTCCTGCAGCAATGAACAGTAGAGACCCCATTTACATCACATTCTAATTTTAACACTAGGAGAAATACTTGCCTCCCACAGAACAATGATTCTGGTGAACTCATTGTAGCATGCTGTGGCAAAGCCCCTAAGTATAGATGGCTTACAAAACACTGATTTGACAAACTTAGAAGATATCTACTGGCAGTTACTACATGTGATTGGTTCAATGGAATTTCCCACTGCCCTGGAACTAGAAACTGCAAGTCAGCCAACTCTCGATTTATCCTGTTATTGCTGTCTTAGGAGTGTGTTATGGCAACTACTAAATACACAGTACTAAGACAACATAGTGGTGGACCAAGTGTGGCTATTCATATTTTCTTAAAGAACAAACTAAAAAGCTCCTGAATGAATGTCTAACACTAATCATTAAGTGTTGTCATTACTTTGCTACTGAAAGACAAACATGTTCGAACTCCAAAGAAAAATCTCCAAACCTGTTCCAC